TGAGGCAGGAGAATCGCTTGAATCCAGGAGGCGGAGGCTGCAGTGAGCTGAGATCACGCCACTGCACTCCAGCATGGACAACAGAGACTCTGTCTTCAAAAAAAAAAAAAGGAATTGCCTGGACACACAGCAGACTTTGTTAAATGTGAAACAAACTTTGACCATGTTAAGGTGCTCAGATGTGGGGTTCATTTGTTACGGCAGCAGAGGGAGCCTTGCTGACCAATACAGCTCACACCCAGGCACAGGTGAAGCCTGGCCCAGGTCCCGAGGGGACTCCTGGAAAACCACGTTCCGGTTCAGGACATGCTGAGAGATCCTGGCAAGTCCTTTGACTCTTCTGGGCCTCTGTTTCCTCATGTGGAGGGTGGGGCAAGAAATGTTTTCTCCTCTGAGGCCTACGGTGCTTATGCTCCCAAACCCCAAAGGCTCAAGGAAGACCTGCCAGTCCTAGGGGTGGCTGGGGGCTGGGTGCTCACTGCACATTGGCCGCTGGGCAGAGCACCTTATAGGCACTGTGGAACCCTCACAGTGGCTCCAAGAGGGAGGTGCCATCATGATCCCCATTTCCCCATGAGGAAACTGAGGCTCAGCGAGGCAAGGTCACTTGCCCAGAAAGACGAGCATCTGAATTCTTGACTGCTGTAATGCCAATTACCGTCTGGTATTTTTATTTCTTACAAAAGCAGCTCACTTAAGGCTGGGATTTGTCTCATGCCTGTAATCCCAGCGCTCTGGAGGCCCAGACAGGATGACGGCTTGAGGCCAGGAGTTCTAGACCAACCTGAGCAACATAGCGAGACCCTGTGTCTACAAAAAAGTAAAGAACGAGCTGGGTCTGGTAGCTACTCTGGAGGCTGAGGTGGGAGGATTGCCTGAGCCTAGGAGTTCGAGGCTGCAGTGAGCTGTAATCATTCCACTACACTTCAGCCCGAGTGACAGAGTGAGACCCTGTCTCAAAAAAGAAAAAAGAAAAAAAAAAAACTTGAAAAAAAGCCAACCATCAATAAATTATTAAATTATTGTTTAAATACACATGAAATGTATCATCATAACCATTTTTAAGTGCAGAGTTCAGCAGCGTTAAGTACACTCACGGTATTGGACAACCATCCCCACCATCCACCCACAGAACCCTTTTCATCTTGTAAAACTTAAACCCTGTACCCATGAAATACTCCTTCTTCCCCCAGCAACCACCATCCCACTGTCTCTACGCGTGCGGCTCCTTTGGAACCTCACGTAAGTGGAATCCTACTGTATCTGCCTTTTTGTGACAGGCTGTTTTACTCAGCGTGCTGTCTTCAAGGTTCATCCATGTTATAGCGTGTGTCGGTTTCCTTTTTATGGCCACATAATATTCCACTGTACGTATGCATCACATTGTTTGTTCCTGGGCTCGAGGACACCTGAGCTGCTTCCACCTTTTCTCTATTGTGAGTAAAGCCGCTGGGAAGACGGGAGCATGAATATCTCTTCGAGATCTTGCTTTCCATTCTTTTGGGTACATACCCAGAAGTGGAAATGCTAGATCATATGGTAATTCTATTTTTAATGTTTTTGAGGCACTGCCATGCTGTTTTCCACAGCGGCTGCACCATTTTCGTCCCCACCGGCCCTGCCCGAGTGCTCCAGTTCCTCCACCTCCTCCCCCCAGCACTTGCCTCCTGATAGGAGCCAAGCCACGCTCGTGGGTGGGAGGGGACATCTCATCCGGGTTTTCATCTGCTAATGATTAGTGAGGGGATACGGACTTTTTCTTTTTTCTTTTATTTTCTTGCTTTTTTTTTTTTTTTTTTTTTTTTGAGACGGAGCCTCACTCTGTCCCCCAGGCTGGAGTGCAGTGGTGCGATCTCGGCTCACTGCAACCTTCGCCTCCCAGGCTCAAGCAATTCTCCTGCCTCAGCCTCCCAAGTAGCTGGGACTACCCATGCACCACCACAACTGGCTAGTTTTTGTATTTTGGGTAGAGACGGGGGTTTCACCATGTTGACCAGGCTGGTCTCGAACTCCTGATCTCAGGTGATCCGCTTGCCTTGGCCTCCCAAAGTGCTGGGACTACAGGCGAGAGCCACCGCGCCCGGAGATATGAGCTTTTTCAATGCCGCTGGTGGGTCTAGAGCAGTGCAGTCACCTGGCTCTGCTTCCACAGGAGCAAAGAGGGTCCCAGTGCTGCCCCCGTCCCGGGGGATTTGTGGGCACAACTCAGAGTCCCCAACCCCCAAACCAGCTAGTGGGGCTGCGGCTGCAACATGACCTGTGCCCCAGTGAACAGGCTGGGGGCCCAGCTTCTCCGGAACCTCAACCTCCGCGGATGTTGCAACCTCCACTTCCCCTGCCGGGCCTCAGCAGGAACTGAGCTGGGCTTTTCCAGCTCCGGCCAACCCTGTGACCTGGAGTCCCCACCCAGCCTGGAACTCAGAGCAGAGAGGAGTCAGCACCACAGGCAGGCAGGAGACGTGGTCATCTGCGTGTCCCTCGGTTTCCGCATCCGGACAAGGGGCAGCTCTGTGGACAGGACGTGCAGGACGAGCTTGCAGACTGTGTGGCCAGATGGAAGAGGTCTGACTCCCGTTTCTTCCATTTACCAGCGGTGTGACCCTGGATAAGTCACTTCCCCTCTCAGCCCTCACTTCCATCTGTGAAATGGTGCTTGGCACTCGGTAGGAACTGAGTGCCTTCTGCGATTACCAGCACCATCCTCCTCCTCATCACCATCAATATCCACCAGGATGACCAGGTCACGCCTGTGTCCAACCATCCATGGCTCCCACTGCCAGCCGGAGACAACCCATCACACTCTCACGGCTGCTAGGCACCGCCCAGACTGACCCCTGCCCACATCTCCAACGTCCTCTCCCTCTCACTCGTCACATTCCACTCTCTGGGGCTGCCCCCCTGTCCTTCAAACTCAAAGCTCTCCCTCCAGCCACAGGCCCTTTGCATATGCTGTTCCCTGCCTGGAATGGGCTTCCCCACCCATCCGGCTCCACACCTTCATCCGTAACCTCCTAAAAGGCCTCTGAACCATGAAATTATTGGAAGACTGTCAGCCTCCCTACGTCGCTCTATGAGGCCAAGATCGTGCCTGCTTTGCTCCCTACTAAGGACAAGGTTGGTCCAGGTGGCCCCCAAATATTAGCCACATGGTATTATGTTCTTTCCAGATAAACCCTGATTTTGGAAACTCAGGTTCTTTCCACAAAAATAAGCCATTCCTCACATCACTAAAAAAGCTTTAACTTTCATACCTTTGGAAGATTTTTTTTTCCCTTCAGTAAACGAACAAACCTGAGAAAGCCCTCAGCTACATCCTGTGTCCTCATTTTTCAGCTCAGAAAAATATGGTCACTGCACTTGAAGCAGCTGCTCCCAACGCCTGCCGCACCTCCTCCCAGCCCACCCCTGGCTGCCCCTTCCTCAGGACTCAGGACCTCCTTTCGGGCTGCTCTCTGGGTGAACCCCTGCTTGGGAATAAACACCCACCCTGAGGGGCGGAGGAGGGAGAGGCAGGCAGATGTGCTTCAGCCCCCACAACAAGGTCGGCGAGAGCCACAGTGAGCCCTGCTAAGCGCCAGGGCCTGACCCAGCCGGGCTACACTCAGCACCACCGACCACCGGCATCGGGAGCGCGGGTGTGGACCCCAGGAGGGCCACGGGCCAGGAGGCTTTGCGAAACTGCGTGGCCCAAACCCGCGCCTGCGTCCCCACCTCCATCCCCTTGCTTACCTTTTAAAATTTGTATTTATGTACGTATTTACTTATTTTTTATTTTTATTTTTTTGAGATGAAGTCTCGCTCTGTCACCCAGGCTGGAGTGCAGTGGCACGATCTTGGCTCACTGTAACCTCCACCTCCCAGGTTCAAGCGATTCTCCTGCCTCAGCCTCCTGAGTAGCTGGGATTACAGGCATGTGCCACCACCACGCTCAGCTAATGTTTGTGTTTTTAGTAGAGACAGGGTTTCACCATATTGGTCAGACTGGTCTCAATCTCCTGACCTCAGGTGATCCACTCACCTCAGCCTCCCAGGGTGCTGGGATTACAGGTGTGAGCCACCGCGCCTGGTCTACTTGCTTGTCTATTTCAACATTTATTTAGCAAGCAACTACTATGTGCCCAGCCCAGTTCTGGGAAAGCCTAGTGAAGACCCCAGGTCCTGCCCTCCTGACCTGGTACTTACTTCTGGGGAGGAGACCTCAGACCCTGCATCGTCCCCAGGCCCACCCAGCACGTTCTCTAGGCTCAGGGCCTGTGGGTAGGGGCTGGCTCTAAGGGATGCTCCAGAGGACCCCATGGGGGGAATTCAGGGAGGGGTGGTGCACTCGCCCATTCCAGAAGGTCCTGGGGAAAGAACTTTCTCCACAGGGTCACAGGAGCAGGTTCCGGGCAGTCGTCACCCATCAGCACCACTGTCGTTGCTGTGGTTGGGGCCAGCTCAGGCCTGCAGGAAGGATGGGCGGTCCGCAAACGTAGGTGAGTCAAAGGAGGACTTAGGGTCACCGTTGGCTGGGCCTCGTGGACAACAAGGGGGAGCCCCAGGGTGAAGGAGTCTCAGTTCATGCGCCCCTCCCAACCTGCCTGGCACGCCCAGGCACATGCACACCTGCCCACAAACACACCCTCCCTCACACACACACAACTCATGCATGCTAACTCCTGTGCACACCAATTCACACATACACAACTCACACACCAACTCACACGTACACAACTCACACGCATACCAACTCAGACACAGCAACTCACACATACACAACTCA